TACAGTGGGCTGTACTGTGTGGACTAGAGGTTAGGGCTGGGATTCTACAGTGGGCTGTACTGTGTGGACTAGAGGTTTGGGCTGGGATTCTACAGTGGGCTGTACTGTGTGGACTTGAGGTTAGGGCTGGGATTCTACAGTGGGCTATACTGTGTGGACTAGAGGTTAGGGCTGGGATTCTACAGTGGGCTGTACTGTGTGGACTAGAGGTTAGGGCTTAGATTTTACAGTGGGTCATCCTGTGTGGACTAGAGGTTAGGGCTGGGATTCTACAGTGGGCTGTACTATGTGGACTAGAGGTTAGGGCTGGGATTCTACAGTGGGCTGTACTGTGCGGACTAGAGGTTTGGGTTCGGATTCTACAGTGGGCTGTACTGTGTGGACTAGAGGTTTGGGCTGGGATTCTACAGTGGGCTGTACTGTGTGGACTAGAGGTTAGGGCTGGGATTCTACAGTGGGCTGTACTGTGTGGACTAGAGGCCTGGGATGGGATTCTACAGTGGGCTGTACTGTGTGGACTAGAGGTTTGGGCTGGGATTCTACAGTGGGCTGTACTGTGTGGACTAGAGGTTTGGGCTGGGATTCTACAGTGGGCTGTACTGTGTGGACTAGAGGTTAGGGCTGGGATTCTACAGTGGGCTGTACTGTGTGGACTAGAGGTTAGGGCTGGGATTCGACAGTGGGCTGTACTGTGTGGACTAGAGGTTAGTGCTGGGATTCTACAGTGGGCTGTACTGTGTGGACTAGAGGTTTGGGATGGGATTCTACAGTGGGCTGTACTGTGTGGACTAGAGGTTAGGGCTGGGATTCTACAGTGGGCTGTACTGTGTGGACTAGAGGTTTGGGATGGGATTCTACAGTGGGCTGTACTGTGTGGACTAGAGGTTTGGGCTGGGATTCTACAGTGGGCTGTACTGTGTGGACTAGAGGTTAGGGCTGGGATTCTACAGTGGGCTGTACTGTGTGGACTAGAGGTTAGGGCTGGGATTCTACAGTGGGCTGTACTGTGTGGACTAGAGGTTTGGGTTGGGATTCTACAGTGGGCTGTACTGTGTGGACTAGGATGTTACAATAGTAGTATATTTTTTGATTTCCTTTCAATACCTCTGATATATTTTTTTCCTAAATTTCCCTGATTTCTTTTCTCCACTGTTTGTTAGCACAAGTTTTTTTCTCTTGAAACCACTCTGAGACTGAGTTGTCGACTTTAAAGTGGCATGTTAAAGTTGGACTATGTTTTATTATATAGTGTAGATAGTTATTTAGTGAGAGTTACTTTCCTTGTATTAGATAGATTTCTATATCTAGGACCATTTTACATGTCTGTGGTTCCTGCAATTAAAACTAAAACTAAGTGCTTGACTCATTGCAAAACCTGCTTGTATCACTTAGACACATCCCAATCCTTGATTAGTGACGGCATCAAACACTTAGACTTAATTTTAATTGCAGGAACCACAGATGTCTGATTGAAAATTGGAATTGTCCAAATTGACGCTATCAGTGTCTCTGATACACATAAAAATTGAGAAAACCTCTTTACAATCTCTTGAACTGAAGTTATAATAATTAGATATTTCTGTAAAATTGAGAAAACTTTTCTACAATCTCTTTAAAGGGATAATAGTTTTGTAAATTTTTAGGCATCCATACCACTTCTGAGAATAGTATTAGACACCCTGTTCTCCTGCAATTAAACATACTGAGTCATGTTATACTACAGTCAGAAATCACCACAAGTTCAGTTAGAGTAAAAATGGTCCTGGATATTTTCTGAAGACTTATTTTGACCTTTTTTCTATTTTTTCTATCTTTTTCTTTCTGACCTCAGCTAAAAAATCTCTTCGACGTCGACGGCGTGGAAAAAAAAAACGATTGAATCATCCTGAATGTTTCCGGTGGATGTCAAAACAAGGAATGGAATGTCACTTCATGGACTCAACTCACTGGAAAACGGCCCCGTTCTGGATACGTAAGACGACTTGCACTCAATCTACACAATATTTTTTCTATTAACAGTTTTTTTCAATCCTCATTCTAATTTTTCTTCTAATTAAAGAGATTATAAATTTCTAAATTGTTTATGTATATCAGGGACACTGATAACATCAATTTATACCATTCTAATTTTACATCAGACGTCTGTGATTCCTGTAATTCCACTAAAACTAATTGATGACGTCACTAATCACGAACGGCCTTATGTTATAAAATATATTTTGCAAATATTGACGTCATCAAACACTTAGTTTTAGTTCTATTTAAAGAACCACAGACGTCTGATCAGTGTCCCAGATATACATATATAAGTTTAGAAAACCTCTTTACAATCTATTTAATTACTAATTGGTTTGTCAGTAATACTGCAATCTATAGATAGAAAATTATATTCTCATTTTTAATAAAATAACTTACACTGAGAAAACATACTTCAATCAAAACCATGCTTTCATCTACTGTGGCTACTGTAAAAACTTGAGAGTGTTGTAGGTATAACAAACAGGTTACTGTAAAAACTTGAGAGTGTTGTAGGTATAACAAACAGGTTACTGTAAAAACTTGAGAGTGTTGTTGGTATAACAAACAGGTTACAGTAAAAACTAGAGAGTGTTGTAGTTATAACAAACAGGTTACAGTAAAAACTTGAGAGTGTTGTAGGTATAACAAACAGGTTACTATAAAAACTTGAGAGTGTTGTAGTTATAACAAACAGGTTACTGTAAAAACTTGAGAGTGTTGTTGGTATAACAAACAGGTTACAGTAAAAACTTGAGAGTGTTGTAGGTATAACAAACAGGTTACTGTAAAAACTTGAGAGTGTTGTAGGTATAACAAACAGGTTACTGTAAAAACTTGAGAGTGTTGTAGGTATAACAAACAGGTTACTGTAAAAACTTGAGAGTGTTGTAGGTATAACAAACAGGTTACTGTAAAAACTTGAGAGTGTTGTTGGTATAACAAACAGGTTACTGTAAGAACTTGAGAGTGTTGTAGGTATAACAAACAGGTTACTGTAAAAACTTGAGAGTGTTGTAGTTATAACAAACAGGTTACTGTAAAAACTTGAGAGTGTTGTAGGTATAACAAACAGGTTACAGTAAAAACTTGAGAGTGTTGTAGGTATAACAAACAGGTTACTGTAAAAACTTGAGAGTGTTGTAGTTATAACAAGCAGGTTACTGTAAAAACTTGAGAGTGTTGTAGGTATAACAAACAGGTTACAGTAAAAACTTGAGAGTGTTGTAGGTATAACAAACAGGTTACAGTAAAAACTTGAGAGTGTTGTAGGTATAACAAACAGGTTACAGTAAAAACTTGAGAGTGTTGTAGGTATAACAAACAGGTTACAGTAAAAACTTGAGAGTGTTGTAGGTATAACAAACAGGTTACAGTAAAAAATTGAGAGTGTTGTTGGTATAACAAGCAGGTTACTGTAAAAACTTGAGAGTGTTGTAGGTATAACAAACAGGTTACTGTAAAAACTTGAGAGTGTTGTAGTTATAACAAGCAGGTTACTGTAAAAACTTGAGAGTGTTGTAGGTATAACAAACAGGTTACTGTAAAAACGCGAGAATGTTGTAATAACAAATGAAATAATAACACAGTATTACTGACATTCTCTGTTTTATTAACTGTTAAAAGAATAAATAAGTGTTGTTTGCATGGAAGCATGTTTTTGTCTGAATGATTTTCTAACCTCCACCTACCAAATTCTTGTCAGAAATTATTCATTAACAGATATACAACCTCTTAGGATGACCATAAAATTGACTGCAAGATTATTTGTTTTCTGTATGACCTTTAATAAATCAACGAAGATAAGAAGAAGAAACCAAGAAAATTCCAGTTGTTTATTATCCATCTTAACATCTAATCTAATCTAATTATTCTATTATCTAATTATTTTACGCACCAATATCCATCTGGAGGCTACAACCTGAACAATTTGTATTAATATTGATTTAATATTTCTAATGCCTTTAATTAAAATAGTTGTTGTTGTAGTCATGGTAACAGTTTTATTGATTTTACTGATTATTTCTATATGATTTGGAATGTAAACTTTAAAATAGTAATGGTACTTTAAAATAGTAATTGTACTTTAAAATAGTAATTGTACTTTAAAATAGTAATTGTACTTTAAAATAGTAACGGTACTTTAAAATAGTAATTGTACTGTAAAATAGTAACGGTACTTTAAAATAGTAATTGTACTTTAAAATAGTAACGGTACTTTAAAATAGTAATTGTACTTTAAAATAGTAATGGTAGTTATAAAATAGTAATGGTACTTATAAAATAGTAATGGTACTTTAAAATAGTAATGGTACTTATAAAATAGTAATGGTACTTATAAAATAGTAACGGTACTTTAAAATAGTAACGGTACTTTAAAATAGTAACGGTACTTTAAAATAGTAACGGTACTTTAAAATAGTAATTGTACTTTAAAATAGTAATTGTACTTTCAAAATAGAAACGATACTTTCAAAATACAAACGGTACTTTAAAATAGTAATGGCACTTATAAAATAGTAATGGTACTTATAAAATAGTAACGGTACTTTAAAATAGTAATTGTACTGTAAAATAGTAACGGTACTTTAAAATAGTAATTGTACTTTAAAATAGTAACGGTACTTTAAAATAGTAATTGTACTTTAAAATAGTAATGGTAGTTATAAAATAGTAATGGTACTTATAAAATAGTAATGGTACTTTAAAATAGTAATGGTACTTATAAAATAGTAATGGTACTTATAAAATAGTAACGGTACTTTAAAATAGTAACGGTACTTTAAAATAGTAACGGTACTTTAAAATAGTAACGGTACTTTAAAATAGTAATTGTACTTTCAAAATAGAAACGATACTTTCAAAATACAAACGGTACTTTAAAATAGTAATGGTACTTTAAAATAGTAATGGCACTTATAAAATAGTAATGGTACTTTAAAATAGTAACGGTACTTTAAAATAGTAACGGTACTTT